TTTTTTTTTTTTTTTTTTTTTTTTTTTTTTTTTTGCAATTTGCTTTATGCCCCAAGCATTACATTTGAGATTTTTTTATGCTGATGTTTTAGAATTAAGGGATTTCAGCTTGTCATCTAAGCTATCAGACAGATAATCTACTGAAGACATTATTTGTGTGCCTCTGTGCCAATAATACATTTTTGAGTGATCTAGCTTTATAAAAATCATCCTGGCTATTTAAAGCCCTTTATTCTTTCATGTAAGTTGTAGAATCAGCCTGTCAAAGTCCTTGAAAATTTGTCAGATTGGGATTTTGGGGTTTTTTCTTCTTTTCATTCCTTCCATTGGGTTATGTTTTATTTATTCTCTATTTTGTTCTAGAAGATAGTAGTTACATTTGATCTCTTTTTGTTTGCTGTTAACATTCATAACTTAAGAAGAGGCATTCATGCAAACTTTATTAACGGTAGAGACTAGAACACTCGCTTTGCTTCTCCTTACATGTTATGGTTGTATAATATTTCACTATTTTGTTGTAAGTAGACCATGCAAGTTTAGATTAACCTGCACATTTGCCAGCTTCTTACCACAGGTTCTTGTATTTCCTCCTTCCTTGTGAATTCCACTCCTCGGCATCCTAGAGCAGAGACAGCTTGTGCATTGGTCAAAAGCACCAACTCTGCAGCCAGATGACCTGTGGTGGCTATGCAGCTCTGTTGTTGATCACTAGCTCTGTGACCTTTGACCTTGATTACTGAATCTCTTTGTGCCTCAGTTTTTCTATTTATAAAATAGGGATGATAATATCTACTTCATGGGGTTGTTAGAAGGATCAGATGAATTAATATTTGTGGAATGGTTACAATAGTGCTTGGCACATAGTAAGCCTTATAAGAGTTTCTTATAGAAGTAAATTATTCCCTGAGTGTAAGTTATTTCTCCCTTACTCTTGAATTATAGCATAGCTAGGTATAGAATTCTAAATTGACATTTATTTTTACTTAGCAGTGCCTTAGCCTCTGGGGCTGCTTTTTAAAATCCATAATTGGGGCACCTGGGTGGCTCAGTTGAATGTCCAACTTTGGCTCAGGTCATGATCTCATGGTTTGTGAGCTCTAGCCCCACATTGGGCTCACTGTTGTCAACCTGTCAGCACAGAGCCTACTTCAGATCCTCTGTCCCCCTCTCAGAGCCTTCCCCACTTGCGCTCTCCCCAAATACAAAAATAAATAAAGTCCATAATTAACCAATTTATTGTTCCCTCTGAGACAGTGTCTTTTCTCTGGTCAATTTTCAGGTTACCTTTTTAAGATCTTATTTTTTAAGAAATCTCTACACCCAACATTTGGCTTGAACTCACAATCCCAAGAACAGAAGTCACACACACCACCAACTGAGCCATCCAGACAACCCAGATTACCTTATCTTTAAAAAGGTTTAGCAAAATCGTGAAAAGTAGAAAAGTGTTCTGCCATTTTATGAAATATATCTAGGTGTGGGTTTACTTCTGTTTTTTCTAATCAGGACATATTGTGCTTCTACGTGCTATTTTCTATTCTATTAATTTTTTTTTTTAATTCTATCCTTGTACGTTTAGGTTTGTCATTTTTTCTAGCTTGAGTTACACGTTTAGAACTTATTTATTTTTAGCATTTATTTTCTAATATTTTCTGTATTTCAGGGACTTAAATTTCCTGTAAATACTTTGGCAGCATCTTTTCCAGAGCACAATTTGGCAATCTGTGTCAAAGGCCTTTAAAGTATTTATACCATTTGACTCAAATTTCACGTCTAAGAATCTATATATTTTTTTTAGTTAAAAAAATATTTTGAGAGAAGAACATGCAAACAGGGGAGGGGTAGAGAGAGAGGGAGAGAGAGAAAATCCTAAGCAAGCTCCCTGCTATCAGCACAGAACCTGACACAGGACCCAAACCCACAAACTGTGAGATCATGACCTGAGCTGAAACCAAGTGTTGGACACTTAACAGGCTGAGCCAGCCAGGTGCTCCTCTAAGAATCTATATTAAGGACATAATCAGATGAATTATATATAAAAGGCATGTATTACCATGTCATTTCTACTGTTTTTTAAAAAGGAAAGGATTTATACAATGCAGTATTCAGCAAGAAAAATATTCTGGGTCATTTTTAATGACTTAGAAAAATGCACCCAATATAGCAGATGTAAAGACACAAATAGTGTATTTTTCAAGTTTTTCCCTCTAATATATTAACAGTGTAAATGTTTGCTTTTTATTTTCTATTTTGTGCTTTTCATTATTTTGCAAGCAGTCTCTAATGCTTCCCAGTCCCTACTGACAAAAATGTTGGTTCTTTTGTTGTAAAATATCACAATATTATGAAGCAAAAGTAACTGGTTTACTATGGAGTGTCAGTTCGGTGGGGCATTTAAGATCATGAAACAGTTTTATTTTTTTTCAGCCACTGCCTACATGCTGTGAATTCTTCACTCATTGAATTCTGTTGAATTCCCCTGATTGATTGCTGGGTTGAATGAATATTGAGTGGGAAAGAGAGGCCCCGAGGGACGGAGGGCTTTAGGAAAGAGGAGGATTTTCTCCCTCACCAATTCCCTGAGGAAGAGTCCAAACTAGGTAAAGATTATAAACTGGTGAGAGTATTTGCAATCCATATCACAAAGGGATTCATCTCCCTATTTATGAAGAGCTCTTAGAAATCAAGCAAAGCATAAAAAAATGTGAAGAGATTATTAAGGGCCATTTATATTATCTCTAAAATGTACAGAGGTGTCAGACTTTTCTCATAATATGAGAAATGCAAATCTAAACCATGCTAAGATACCATTTCTCACTTAACAGATTTGCAGAAAATTGAAAAGTTAAATTCATTGTTAATGAGGCTATAGAGACATAGGCATTCTCATGCATTGCTGTGGGGATTATAAAATAGAACTCCTAGGGAGGGGAATTTGATAGTATCCGTAGTTTTGGTAGATACTTTTACCTTTTCCCCCAGATATCCCATTTCTGAGAATTTATCCCACAGATACACCTGCATGTGTGCTTTGAAAATATTTGGCATAGTTTCCAATAGTAACAAATGCAAACCACCACAAATGTCCGCCAATAGAGGACTGGTTTAATAGACTATTCTGTGGACGTACAGTGTGCAGCTGTAATGAAAAGGAACGTCTCATGCTGAAATGGAAAGATCTCCAAGACAGAATATGAAATGAATACAAGGTGAAGAACAATGTGCATATATGCATGTATATATAAATATATAAAATATAGTATATAAAATTATATTATATAGTTTATTAAAAACAATGAGTATATCCATGTTTGCCTATATTTGCATAATGTCACTGACAGGATTAACAAGAGGCTAATGAAATGGTTGTCTGGGGACCAGGGGTCAGAGTGAGGGTTTTCTGTTTTTGTATTTTTAAATATAGTTTTTATTTGAACATGCTATTTAAAAATTTTTAATGTTTATTTTTAGAGAGAGAGAGAGAGAGAGAAATAGAGCATAAGTGGGGGAGGGGGAAAGAGAGAGGGAGACACAGAATCTGAAGCTGTTAGGACCGCACAGAGCCTGACCCGGGGCTTGAACCCACAGACCACAAGATCAGGACCGGAGCTGAAGTTGGATGCTTAACGACTGAGCCATCCAGGCGCCCCTGAACGTGGTATTTTTAAAACAATGCTGGATGAAAGCCAATGGCTTTTAGCATTTATTGATATTACATCAGCTTCCCTATTTTATGTTATTTTTAATAAAATATACATAAGTTTTGCACCTATAGGTTTGAGTTTTTGTTTTATTTTAGTCAGGATTTGTTATTATGGTTTTATAGTCTCAAAAATAGGGTAATTCACCCAAGTAACCTATAAAAACAAATATAAAATATACTCAAAAGCAAGAAGAAAATAATAAAGTCAAGAAATCAATGAAATCCAAAACAGAAAAAGGAAAATCAATGAAACCAAAAGTTGATTCTTTAAAAAGAGAGTTGATAAATGTCTAACCAGACTGACCTAGAAAAAAAGACAAATTGACGAAAATGAGATGACATTACTCTTGTCCCTACAAACATTAAAAGAATAAGGAAATACTCTGAACACTCTACATATCCATGCAACAACTTAAATGAAATGGACCAGTTCCTTGAAAGACACAAATTACCAAAACTCATTCAAGGAGAAATAAAGTGAACAGTACTAAAGCTATTAAAGAAATCTAATTCATGGCTTCCAAAAAAGAATACTCCAGGTCCAAATAATTTCACTAGTGAATTCTACCAAACATACAAGAATTAGCAATCCTTCGAAATCTCTTCCAGAAGAGAAAGAGGCATTTTATAAAGCTAAGAGTACCTTCACATCAAAACTAGACAAAGAGTAATGCAAGAAAACTGCAGCCCAACATCCCCCATTAATATAGATGCAAAAATGCCTCAAATTATTAGCAAATCAAATTCAATATGTAAAAATTAGCACAAAACAACCAAATGGTATTTATCCCAGGAATACAGGATTGGTGCCACACTTGAAAATCAATGTAATTCTCCACAGACTTAAGAAAAACCACATGATTATATCAATAGGTGCA